TCTTCTTACTAATCATGAACTATTTTTGAACCAATAGCAGCATGATGTGTCAAGCTTCTTACCAATCAAGAACTATTTTTGCCCTTTTGTAAAAATTAACTTTTAATGCTTAAATACACAAGATTTATTTTCAAAATTTCTCCAGTCACGGTTAAAAGTATTGAAATAAAAGAAATAATCAATTAGTAATTGTTTTATAATAAAAACTATATTTTCAGTTGTTTTTATTAAGTCCAGGAAAAAAAACAAAAACACTTTTACATTTGCATTTAAGATATACTAAAAAAAACTGTATCTACTAGTTCTGAATTTTTATAAATCAAACTATTTCTCTCTTATACAATACAGTGTTTTCTAGTTATATTTACAGCAGTAATACTGTTACTTTATTGTTAAACAAAATACGAGCTAGGTGGGTTAAGATTACAAACTTTTGTAAGTGTTGAGTAAGAAAATAATTTCCTTCAGAAAGAAAACATCTTACCAAACATTTGTGTTCATCTTTATGCTTTATGGATAGTTATCATTGTGTAATAAGATGTAGGTGTTCTTTTTATGCTAGTAGTAATTGTTTCTAGATCTTATGCACGACTTTTATCATTGTAAATTAGAACTATTTATTAATATTTGTTTTCCTACTATTTCTAAGTAACATCATAACTCTGTTCCATGAAAGTAACTACAGTAACATGAGCAAGATAAGTTATGGTTGTGAGTGTTATCTGGAGCTATAAGTCATGCTTGTACATGTCACATCCAGTGTGTACGGATAACCAGAACTTTATAAGATAGCAAATGATATTTGTCACTGTTTAATACCTATGGTTATACATATCCTTCTTTTAAACATCACATCTTTTGTATAAAAATTAACTATGACAACATCCATCTTGTTCCAAAAATTTACATTCTTTGTATTATTATTAAATGTAGACACTATAAATGATATATAAAATCAGGATATGTTGATTTATGATGGTGCATCTTCTTTAGCAGTCATCAGTCTATATTTACCAGGCATCAGTGTATCGAATATCACACTCTTCTAATGCTGGAAGTTTGGTCTGAAAGTGTCAAAAAATGTTTCAACTCCACAATATTTAAAACCATGCATTTTTGTTAAACAATTTTTCATTTAACATTTTTTGTATTTGGTGCCAGGAGTCCTCTAAATTCTGCAACATTAGTGAATGTTGTATAAAATCAGATAATATTCTCAAGTTTTCCTACTACAAATAATAGAATCACTAGGAATTTTAAATATTTATATCAAACAGGGTAACAGTACATTGTACATAAAATATGGTATATATATATATGTAACTCACCTTTAGGTGTTGAAATGTCTGAGATGACAAGGAAGTGCTGTTCAGGTTTAGTTTCTGGAGATTTTTAAGATCTAAATAAAAATAATGATTTGTTTTTTGCAGAACTATAAAGCTCATTAACATTGACATCTATCAAATATAAATATGTTAACTGGAGATGTTGTGATAGCTTATGTTCTTCTAGGTCCATTCAGTAATTTCCTTGCGAGTTTACATTAGTTGAAAAGTATTTGCAATGTGCATTAGTATA